GAGAGAGAGAGAGAGAGAGAGAGAGAGAGAGAGAGAGAAAGAGAGTGAGAGAAGGGCGCGCAAGAGAGATAGTTCTAGTAAGAGTTAGAAAGAGGCGGAGACAGCAGAAGGGGACATCGAAAGGGACAGCGAGAAGCGAAGACGAGCAGAAGATTAAGGTCGTCGGGCATCTAACATGACGACCCAACGAACACACGTAAGAGAATACAACACTACTCAACGTACAATTTGAAAGATTGGCATAAAAAAACAATCCATGAAATTTTTTGTGTTTGTTGTTATTTAATCTTAGAGTGAGACGGACTTCTGAAAATGTTTATTTTCATCATTGCACTGATTATACGTGTTTTGACGGAACTTTTGTCCACTCGTCTGTACATTATTGTACATAGTTCATTCCAGCGTAAAATATTCTGAAATAAGTTAAGTGTCTCTGTGGCATGATTGCGTTCATGCAGTACGCAGACTACATTGGCTGACGCTAATGGTCCACCTTCTGATGGAAAAAACAATCCCTCCAGGAATGCCTGCTAGCGGCCAGCTGACCGACCGACCGACCGACCGACCGACCGACCGATCGACCGACCGACCGACCGACCGACCGACCGACCGACCGACCGACTGACAGACCGACCGTCGATTCATTTCACGTGAGCCGCTGACGAACAGTGCAGACAAACAGCGGGCGAAAGTATCCGAGCGCTGCGGAATACATCTCAATATAGACAGGGCGTTATATATCATTTACGCCTTCTGTAGAATGTAACGCACTCGAGTTTCAGTCGCCACGTCGCCTTGGAGTATTAGGAAAATATGGTGGATTTTTTTGGCAATGTTCGTTGTTTTAAAATTCAATAAGTGCATAACACGCATTATATATGTCGCCACCGGCGTCAGGGAGCAACTCAAAATAATTTCCATTGATAAATCCCTACCACTTCGTTCCACTCCACCTACTCATATTACTTTAAGTCTAATCATTTCTAGGCTATGGCCGCGTGGATTGCAACTAGCAAGCGCCAAGACAGCATATCACTTAATCCAAAAATGTGTCCAAGGCGCCATTGATTACACACGCGCAGTATATTTTATGGAACATGAGAATCTTCAGCATATTATCTCTTGGTAATAACGTCCCACCGCAACTAGAGCATATCCACGGAGTAATACACGTCGTAAAACAGTCGCTGAGCGACTTTCTCCATCTTATCAACTCTAACAGACGCCAGAATGTTTACCATACGCTAACCAACAAAGACCTTCAGCGCATTACGTTCCTCGCGTGTTTCGTTCTAGTGTTTCTTGCGCGTTCTACTCGTATATCGTCTGAAGCAATCGATTAGGGTTCTGCAGAACAATGAATTTAGAAGAGCACGCGTCCGGAACTAGAGACGCGCGTTGAAAACGAGTAGATTATTCGAGGAAAAATCTCGTGGACATAGCAACAACATTAAGAAACAGAAACTAACTAAGATACGGACACGCACTTATACGCGCCGCACACACGCGCGTACACACACGCGCGCACACGCGCATATACGTACACGCACGCACTACAGCTAGACGACTACCACTTACGTGTTCGCGTATGTTATGTTATTGTTGTCGAGCCAGCGCTGCAGGACGGCGCCCTTCCGATTCTGCGAGGACTCGTTCCAGGCACGTAACGGTTTCTCGGCAATCGTACTCACCGTACTGATGCCCGTGCTCCACATGCACACTACCTGATCGGCCATGCGGTGCCGCAGTCGGCAGATGGACATCATGAACGGCATTGTTCTGTACGGCAGTGGCCACGATCGTGGTGGTGGTGGTGGTGGTGGTGGTACTATCTATCTATCTATCTATCTATCTGTGAATGTTGTTACAACAATGACATGACAGTCATGCAAGTCAGTGCAAAGTGAATCCCGTCTGCCGGTTTATTTACCGCTACAGGGCTAGGGGTGCGTTGATGTAACGCTCCTGCAGGGGAATGATTTTTTCATCATTTTTTCGTTTTGCGATGTCAGATGACCTCGGAGGTCAAATCCAATATGCCCATGTTCTAATGTATCCAAAGTTACATGTAATGGCCATCCTTGGACATAATAGAGTGGCCGATATTGATTTGAATCGAGAACAGACGAACAGAGAAACTTCCACAAATATGTATTAGATATATACATATATGTAAGATATATGATACATACAGATAATGCATAATGACACATCGAAGAACCTATTTCATTGTTTCAACCTACGTTTATTACAGTTTAAAGTTACCTACACTCAATAAATACTACTTGCGTTCTTGCTAGAGTAGAGGAAATGAGCGCGAGGTACGCTATTATTCAATCAGCTAGACGACGTATAGAACCAATTAATAACCTATATCAACAATATTGTAAATTGTGTCCGTCAAAACATAAGCAAACACTCGAAATGACGACGCACAATTCAGGCTAAACTATGACGAGTTGACACACGGTATTTAGAATTCTCCTGCCGCTTCGAATCTCTCCGATTTGCACCCAATGCAATCCGTACCGATCGACGTCCTAGTCCTACGAATACATCCATTCGCTATACATGTGCTAGAGTCGCACAGCATTTACGATGAACACGAAATACACATAAAATGTCACGAGTCATGATCAAAACTGCGGCGTTCTTTGTAATTAGGTGCTAGACTTGGATTTATTAGATAAATACAATCCAAACCATAACTCTAATTGGCAATAAAAACAGCATTGCGCTGTCAAAATATGCTTCGCAAAACTTTATTTAATTGAATATCACAACGTGGTTCCGTTGTGTTATGCGAGGACTTTATATACCGCTTGCCGAAATGAAACTATTAAAACCATTTCAATGCGAGTTGACTCACAGTCGATAATGCTATAGCTAGCATAATAATCTACTACAATAAATATACTGAAACCAATTCACCGCGAATTGACTTGATAAAGCTAGCATGGTAATTTACCGTTACGCTGCCAATCATGGCCGTTGTAAATAATTTATAGGCCACTACATACGTCGATGTCGCTTGTACATTGCTGCATAGCAGCTAAGGCGGTAACACGTGCATGGCCAGTGACATCCATGTTCGACTGCCTGAGGCAGCGTGCGGTTTAACACGTATCTGCCGGGATCAATGCTAAAACACCCTCTACGCACCTTAATTGTTATTATGGCTCGGGCTTAGTGCATTGGTTCATTGAAAGACAACTTAGAAGATTGAAGGAGGACTAACGCATTCTTCTATTAATCTTGACCCAGGTATTTTTAGGTGAATAAAGGACAACCGTGATGCATTTGGTGAAAGAGTTGGGAAAGAGAAAGAGAGAGAGAGAGAGAAAGAGAGAGAAAGAGAGAGAGAGAGAGAGAGAGAGAGAGAGAGAGAGAGAGAGAGAGAGAGAGAGGGTCGGGTGGTGGTGCGGGCTCGCGTGGTCCTGTAGGCACCTAATCGGTGGCCCTGACGATTGACGGGTGGTGGTGGTGTGGAAGTCAGCGGACTGGCGGGTGGCTGGTGGGGGTATGTACAAATATACAATTACATTCGTAACAATTGGGGGGTGCGCTCGGTGGTGGTTGCTGCTGCTGGCGGTGGCGTGGCGGTGGCGGTGATGGAGGGATGTCGTTCAATGTACAGTATAAAAAATATCTGTCGAGGCAGTGGTGGTGGTTTGTGGCGGTGGTGGTGGTTGGTGGTGGTGGTGGTTGGTTGGTGGTGGTGGTGGTGTGTGTGGTGGCGGCTAGAGGTGGATTTAAAGGTGGGGTAGCATTATGGTAAGGTGGGGTGGTAGTGGAGGTGTGGTGGCCGGTGGCGGTGGCGGTGGCGTGCGGTGGTGGTGTGCTGCGCTGCTGCTGCTGGCTGGTGGTGGTGGTGGTGCGTGGTGGTGGTGGTGCGTGGTGGTGCTGCGCCTCGTTCGGCTGCGGCTGGTCAGTGGTGGTGGTGGTCGGTGGTGGTGTAGGTGATGATGAGATGATCGGTGGTGTGGTGCGGTGTATGGTCGGCGGTGGCGGTGGCGCGTTGGCGTTCGGTGGTGTGTGGTGGTGGTGGTGGGTGGTGGTGGTGGTGGTGGTAGTGGTGGTGGTGAGTGCGTGGTGGGTCGCGTCGGTGTTCGCTAACTCTCTCTGTTAAGCATATATCTAGCTTCCTCTGTGGGGTATGTACATCGAACCTCTCTCTTGCTCTCTCTTGCTCTCTCTGATTCTTTCTCTCTCTATATCTTTCTCTCTCTCTCTCACCCTGTCTCTATCTCGCTCTCTATTTCCCT